AGGAAAGAACTAGACAGGTCAAGAAAACATTTAGTGAGAGGAGACTGAGATATGCCTACAATCTCTCCAGTTGGAACAACAGGCAATAGTGACGGTGGACAAAACCAGGGTGATGACCATGGGTGTAAATGAAGTGACAGATGTTAGAAATACTGTAGGACTTGGATGCTACTGTGGTCAAGTCTGAGGAGGAATCAAAGATGACACTAAGATTTTAGGAAACATCTTCCTTAATAAAGTCTCTTACTTCCCAAGTTGGCCCCAGGAGATCCTCTTGAAAGAAAGGCTTCCCACTGTTCCTAAGAACCACCTAACCACAGCATCCTTTGCCATCCTCACCATTCAGACTTCAAGAGAGCAGCTGCTAGCTCTGGACACTTTGTCAAAAGCTAATTAATAACTCTTCCTTAAATCATACCATTACCATTGGGGTTCTCCATTTTCACCTCCACGGCACAGTTGAGACAAAGCTAGTGCACTTAGAAAACCTTTACTAAAGGCTTGGGAATTAATAAAAAAGGAAATAACCCCCAAAGATATAATGAATCAGGAACAAGATACAGTTTAGTTCTTTTCAGCCTATGAAGCACAGTGGGAATCAAACCTTCCAATTTCTCATGTCTTCCCAGATGGTGGATACTATTTTTAAGGTCCGCCACCCAGACACCTCTCCTAGGAGGCTCCTCAAAGTCGGAGCACGAGAGGGAACAAACGAGAGCAACCACGAGCTCTCTCCCACAGCTCCAGTTTAGAATCTCAAGACCTGTTTTTCATCCAACTGACTGACATGAGACATGCATGACCTTGCTCTTTACCCTTGTAATTCTCAACAATGCAAACACAACCCCACCAAGAAATAGGAAATACTCCACACAGACACCCACCGAATGCATAAACACGTCTACAGAAAGGACACATTCACAAAGATAGGAAAGTTTCCAAAAGGAGCTGATTAATGAAGGTTGAAAATAAAAGAAAGAAAAATACTATAAGGGAAGTGGGTTCAATTTGGAAAATGTTAGATTTAAGGTGCCAAGAACATGTCAAAGAAGAGATACATACCAAGTAGAGAAATGTTTCATATGGAGTTTATAAGGGAGGTTGGCCCAGGAGATGTAAGAAATAAAAATGTTGAAGAGTTGAAGTTGTGGGAATATATAAGAAGAAAGTACAGAAAGGAGAAAAGTGAGAGGAAGTCAAAACCTTGGAGATGCCCTTACCACACTGAGTGAGGTGGCAAAAGAGGGAAAGGGGGAGTTGGCAGGACAGAGCCAGAAAGAGAGTTCAGTGTGACGTGGGCAGTGAAGAAGGTGCTCTCCAGAAAGAAGAAGTGGGCCCCAGTCCCACATGCTTCAGAGACGATGCAGAAGGTCATGAGTAAGAAAAGTCCATTGGGTTTGAAATAAAAGAACACAGCTGCCTTTTGAGAGGCAGAATTTAGTATAGTGATGGGGGAAGGTCAGAAGAAGGGTCTGAGAAGAGATGGGCAAATGGCAGCCAGAGCACATGTCATTCATTCCCAAGGACTGACAGTGCAAGGAAGGAGACTGTTAGCACAGGGACCTTGCCCATTGGGCTCACTGCTGCATCTCCAGCACCAAGACCAGCTCCTGGCAATAGGTACTCAAATATCTGTCCATTGCATGTTGTTTATTCAATGAATGCTGTTGTTTGATTAAATAAATGAATTAGTGCATGAATACAGTGCTGATATTGGAGGGATATGAAAGAATAATCTTGTTCTGGCATGTGGGTGATTCAGGTATGAGTGATGGAGTTACATTGCCTTAAGATCTGGTTACAAGATAAAAGGCTGTTAGTGCAGTTCACATCATGGGATTTAGTGTGGGTAAAGAACGAAGGTCTCGGGTCTTGAGCCCAATGGGCAAAAACAGATTCATAGAAACAGAGTAGAAATCCCCTTCTTCCTTGACCATGAAAGCATCAAGAGATACTGAGAGGAGTTGCTGATGGGGTGGGTTGTTAAGGAGGGGCTCTCCACACGGGGGATGTGGGGAGCAAGGAATTAAGAAATCCAAGTCAGTGCCCATGGGTTGTGAAAACCCTTGGGGCAAGAGGCCGCCTATCTCAGCCTGTTACTGGTTCTCATACTCAGTATTAAATCCTTTTCGTCTGCCCCACATTTAAAGTCTTTGGAAAGTTAGAAATATCTGGGTGTTATAATATAAAAAGATTCAGCCAGCTCTAGGAGTCAGGAGGATGGGCAGCACTGTGGTACAAGCAATAATAACAGCAGATAAGTGATACGGAGAAACTACCAAGACACCAAGAAGGTTCAAGGGTGTGTTTTATTAGGTGACACAGTATTTACTTACAGGGAATCTAGAAAACAAATTTCTTTCCCTGTGGCTTCTCTTTTTTTTTTTTTATTCTGACAAAGGAGAATTTAGCAGATATAAGGTCTACAGGGAGAAAACTGGCAAAGAGCAGCAGAAAGAAGGTACAGTTATAAGAATTGATATAATGTAACTAAACAAAGCCCTGGAAGCCATGAGATCCAAAGCCTAGCTGGGGAGGTTTGTTCTTACAATGTGGTATAAAAAAATTGAGAGAATAAAAGATAGAAAGCCTATGTTCATTGCAGCATTATTTACAATTGCCAAGATATGGAAGCAACCTAGGTGACTGTCCATCAATAGATGAATGGATAAATAAGCTGTGGCATATGTAAATAAAGGAATATCAGGCAGCAATAAAAAAGAATAAAATACTGCCATTTGTGACAACATGGATGGACCTAGAGGGTATTATGCTAAGTGAAATAAGTCAAACAGAGAAAGACAACTACCTTATGGTTTCATTTATATGTGGAATCTAAAGAACAAAATAAATGAACAAATAGAACAAAACAAAAAAACAGATTCACAGAAACAGACACCAAAGGGATGGTTGCCAGAGGGGAAGGGGTTAAGAGATGTGTGAAAACAGTGAACAGGGAATATAGTCAATAATACTGTGATAAGTATGCATGGTGACAGATGGATTACTAAAATTAGTAGGGTGATCGCATTGTAAGGTATCAAAATGTCAAATTACTATATTGTACACCTGAAACTAATATAATTAATATAATTAAACTAATGTAATTAATTTTTTTTTAAAAGAAAGCATGTGGAAGACCCTGCATTGAGGCTCAACTAGAACTTAGGGGACAGAGTCAGCTAGAGGGCTTATGGGACACAGAAAGTTCACACCACTGCTATGGAGGGGCCACTGGAGAGCCCACTGAATAGAAGGTTTCTGTAATCTTGAGGTGTTAGATCACTGGCATGTCCAGAAATTCTAATCAGCACAATTTAATACTATCTACAGCAACACTTGGCAACCTGGAAAGGTTTCTTGCAGTTAGAGATGCAGTCCTACACTTGAGCCAAGTTCAGCTCACATAATGGATCTGCCACATACCGAGTCATAACAATGGGATAAACTTACACCTCATGGCAGAATCAACTCACAATTTTAGGAACAGCTCTAAAGACAGGTTCTCGTCAAAGGAATCACAATTAAACCACCCTGCTTATTTTCCTTCAAATGGAGCCAAGTTGTGCTGTTTTATATTAAGATCCTTAAGATCTTCCAGATGGAAGAAATCCAGTCCAATCTCTCACCTATTATGACTTTACTTTTAGAAATCCATGGCGGAAACTATCAGTATAGCCTAGCATCCATGTGCTCCTCTCCATTCCTCACCTTCCTTTCAGTACACCTGAGGCTGAGCGCTGACCAGTGGTGGACCTGATCTAAGTCACTTCCAGGCCTGGCTCTACCTTGGCTGGAAGGAGGACCAGCCAACCTGCATCAGATTAGATCTGCTTGAGTAATGAATAATCTTCCATTATGTCACTCACTGACGTTTGCAGATTTGTCCATTTCAGCAGCAAGCATTCATTGATTTTCAAGCCTTCTTTTAATAACCTAGCAACTCAAAGAGCTCCCAATTGTGTCAGAGAAAGTGATGGAGATTATCATCACCCACAGATGCAAAGGATTAAAAAAAAAAATAGAAGCAGTCATGAAGCTCAGATTTACAATATAGTAGCATCTCACTTATCTAAAAGTGATGATCGGAGACATAATGTATAAAAACTAAAGTCCCCTCCCCCAACCAGGAAAGAAGCTTTTGAGGTCTTAAAACAACCCAGCCTAAGAGTAAACTAAAGCTTCAGAGCTTCACTCACTAGTTAGTGTCTCAGGCTGTATTTATTTACTTATTTTCTTGGAGCAAATAAATCAACCTTGGAAATCTGCTTCATTATTTCACATGGGACAAGAAATAAGAAAGCGGAATCGATAAGCAGTGATGCTAGAAGGGTGCACATCACATCCTGAGAGGGAAGAAGGGATCAGAACTCTAAAAGGCAGCACACCCAAGAAGCAGGGTAGAGCCCCATCCTTTAAAGAATGACTGAGCCCCAGTGCTCTTCATGGTCCTAAAGGACATCATTGGAGGAGCTTAGCCCACAACAGATGAAAATGAGTTGATGTTCCCAAGTAGCCTTTGTAGGCTTCTAAGGAAGGTAAGACAACGTGTAGGAAGTCTCTGAAAATGGTTACTCAAAATAGTTTCAGTGTTTAAAGGCATATACTTGTTTGTTTGAAAAACTAATTTGTGAGGGCCACCTTATTTCCTTAGGATGCCATATAATGATGCTAAAAATATGAGACATTGCCACGCACCTACTGTTTGAGAATGAGTGGTTCCTCCCAACTGGGTGCACATACCTCCCATGAAGGAAGCCAGGATTCCATAAGCAAAAGCAAGATCCAACTATCAAGTCCAAGGCCCTGGCAGAAAGGTTAGGTGGCCAGAGGGCCCAGGGGGAGCCCACTCATCTCACTGTGAAGGAGGAACTAGAGTCCATGTTCCCTGCCATCAAGTTGGGGTATAATCACATCACGCGTCTCCTTCCCTGGACAGACTCACAACCGCTCCATCCCTTCCTGGGCCTTCCTCTGATCCACAGGCCCCACGCACTCACCTGCAGAAAGCAGTGTCCAACGGGCGCGTGCTCCACAAGGGTGGCGTTGTACACCTGCCTCCAGAAGACGGGCTCGTTGTCATTCACGTCGTCCACGGTGATGCCCACCAGGCAGGTGGCAGATAGCGGGGGCTCTCCCAGGTCTTGGGCCACCACTCTCAGCTCTACAGCCTCCTGGACTTCTCGGTCCAGACTCCGGATGGTACTGATCAGGCCGCTTTGGGGATCGATAGCGAAGGACGGTGCGCACTCCGCTGCGGGCCGCAGGGCCTCCTGGCCGCAGCGGGCAGGGAGGTGGGCCAGCTGGTAGCGCACCTGGGCGTGGCTGGTGCCAGCCTCGTCCGCGTCGGAGGCGCTGACCCACAGGACTGCGGTGCCAGGGGCCGCGGCCTCCGAGACCGAGGCCTGGTAACGCTCCTGGCTGAAGAGAGGCGGCTGGTCGTTGAGGTCGGCGACCCGCAGCAGCAGCGTCTCCTCCGTGCTCAGCGGCGGAGACCCAGCGTCCGTGGCCACCAGTCGTAAATCATACAGGTCTCTGCTCTCCCTGTCCAGGGGCCCGTCCACGCAAAGGAAAAATACCCCTGGGGAGCCGCCGGGCCTCAGCGCGAAGGCCCCCTCTGCGCCCTCCAAGGTCAGAGAGATGGTCCTGTCCCCAAAGCTGATATCGGGCTCCCCAGCTGCCGCCGCCTCCTTGCCCGGGTCGCCGTCCGCGTCGGACACCGACACCCGAGCCACGTAGTCGCCAGGCCGGGCCCCTTCTGAGACTCGCGCTGCGCCCCCCTCGGTGAGGAACAGCAGGTGAATGGCCGGCCGGTTGTCGTTCACGTCCAGCACGGCTACGGACACCCTCACGGTGGCGACCTCGGGCTCCGCACCTCCGTCGCGGGCCTCGACGACCAGCTGGTGCCAGGCCTGAGCCTCGCGATCCAGCGGCCTTTGCACCCGCACCACGCCGCTCAGCTCCTCCACGGAGAAGTAGGG